TGGTGCACCAGATGGCCCTCCGGCCCACTGAGCCACCAGCCAGGTTGTGACAGTTTGTACTTTTTGAGGAGTTTTATATAAGTCATCAGGTTTTTATGTATATAGAGTTGTTCATGGTATTTCCTTCTTTCCATTCCTGATGTCTGCAGGGTTTGTGGTGATACCCCTGCTTCATTCTGATCTTGGTAATTGATGTCTTCTCTCTATTTCCTTTGTTAATCTTGCCACAGGTCTGCCACTTTGATTAAGCTTTCAAAGAACCAGTTTTTTGTTTCACTGATTTTCTCTATTATTGTTGCTTTCAATCTTCATTGATTTCTGCTCTTGTTTTATTACTTCCTTCTGCTTGCTCTGGCTTTATTTGATATTCTTCTGGTTTCTTCAAGTGGAATATTAGATTATTAATTTAAGATTTCCTCTTTTCTAATGTAAAAATGGCATTCAGTGCTATCATTTGCCCTCTCAGCACTGCGTTATCTGTGTCTCACTTTGTCTGATTTTCAGAGAGGGCGCATGAGGGGACCTGAGGCCACAGAGAGCAGAGACCTCCTAGGCTCCACCTGAGCCACAGGACATAGTGTGACCTGCAGGCAGCCTGGATCACTGTGCCCCATTCTCCCACCGCCCCCACCCCCCACCCCAGTGCCCATGTGAGATTCCTATGGAGACCAGCAGGTGGGGTTCAACCGCCCATTAGGGTGTGGGACCCTGAGAGGGCACAGTACCTGCTGGTGCTTCCACAGAAATAAGGGTTATGGTCCCCAGGAGGCAGCCCTGCCCTGCCCTGCCTTTCCCTTTCCCTTCCCCTTCCTCTTTCCTCTTTCCTCTTTCCTTTCCCCTTCTCCTTCCCCTTGTCTCACTCCCCATTTCTCACCTTCTCCCACCCGCAGGCCTCAGCCCTCTAGAGGCCTCTGCTGGGCTCTGCACCTTGTCCTGACATCCAGGCCAGGCCCTGGATGGGGGCCTCCCTCCTCCTCAGAGCTGCCCTCCCTGTGCACTGCTCTCCACATCTCCACCCCTCAGCGTGTGGAGGACCCCTCTGTCCATGCCCACTCTCAGGGATCTCACAGCTATTGGGCTGGGCAGGCTCGGTGGCAGCCAGGCAGGGCCCCGAGCTGGGAGTCCTGGGTCTGCTGGATAGTGAGGGACCCAATCAGATGTTCTGGCTCCAGGCACCATCCTCCTCCCACAGAGGGCTCCTGGGGTGCTTTAGTCCCCGCAGAGAGGGGCACAGAGGAGCGAAGCCTTGCTAGTAAGTGTAGCTGGTGCTTGTGTCTCAAGCTCCCCTGGCGGCCAGCCCCTCTGGCCCCTCCCATGCTCAGCAGCCCCGGCCAGGTGAGGCCTTGAGCTCTGCAGAGGGGAAACTTTGCATGTCACAGCCTCCCAGCAGCACAGCCCCGCAGGGGCGGCTCCCTGTAACAAGCGGCTCCCTCGGAGGACCCAGTCTGGGTCTGCCCTCCACAGCCTGGGAAAGGGCCGATCCTTTTGGATCTTGAAGCTGAGTACTGAAGCCCATGGTGTGAGTCTTTAAGAATTAATTAGCACAGATTTCTCAGGAAAAACGAAGCCAGCACAGGGTTTGGTACTGATGGTTTTCTGTAATTCCGAAGCTGTTTCTGGCCTGGAGGCTTTTCCTGTGCTTCCTGGCCCGGGGTCGGCCCTCCATCTCCCTGGCGTCCAGTTCCTCCCCGGGCCTGTCCTGGCTGGCAGCACCCCCTTCTCTGAGAAGCCCCGAAAGCCTCATTTCCCCATCTCCCCGCTCCGCTGACCTGGAGCTGCCTCTTTATCCCCCTGCCCTGGTACCTGCCCCCAGGCCTCCTGGCCTTGGCTCTTGCCCTCCTGTGCTAGACTCCTTCCCTTCCCTGCCTGTCCGCATCTCCCCCTTCTCCCCCACACACACTTTACCAGATCCTACCTGTCCTTTCACTTTTAACCTATGACTTCTGACCCCTCAGGCTGCCTGGCTAATGGCTGTGCATTTGCCAGTGTTAGCAGGTCCATGCGTGGCCTTCCTTATGCACTGCCATCTGCTGGGCACCCCTGCTGCTGGCCAGGGAACGGAGCTGAGCTGGGATGGGAGGAGGCTCCGGCTGGCCCAGTGTCCTCTTTGCATCCATGGCAACAGGGACGTGTCCCAGGATGCCACAGCCTCCTCAGAGCATCTCTGCTTTGCTATTCTCCTTCCTTTCCTTTCTGTCTCAAGACTGCGCAGCTAGGGCAGCCGTGGCTCTCTCCAGGCCTCTGTGCCTTCAGAGGAAGCAAGGTCAGCAGAGCGGAGGGGTGACCCGCCCACCTGAGGTTTGGCAGCTGCAGTCTCTGTAACGAGCCGGAAGGGCATTGAGGAAGGGCAACTCCAGGTGGTTCCTGGGCTGTGACAGGGAGTCTGTGGGGTCTGCAAGGCGAAGCTGGTCCAGAGGAGGCTCTGTGCTAACCCGGCAGCCACGGCAGCAGGAGCTGCAGAGCCCAGACCTGCCCCCCGGGGTCCAGCATCCTGCTCTGGGCCTCCGGCCCCTCCAGGCCACGGCTGCCACATTTAGGCTTCGTGTGCCAAAGAGCCCACGTGGGCACAGGGGGAAGGGGGAGAAGGGACACTGACCTGGCTTTTCTGAGAAGAGGACTCATCCATGAGCTCTGAGGGAGGGGCAGTGGTGTTGGCACCCCGGTGCCCAGACTTGCAATGAGAGAAGCAGGCCTGTGGGCTTCTGGGACCCCCGGGCCAGCTGAGGTCTCAGGGGGGCTCAACACAAACGGCAGAGAAAAGGGAACTGCCTCGGGGAGTCCTCTCTAATGTGAGGGGCTTATACTCCATCTTTAGATGAGAAAAGTGAGGCCAGGGTCAAACCGTGTGTGAAGCAGAACTGTGCTGCCCCCTTTCACTGGGCACCCCACTTCCGTCTCCCCGCCCTCCAGCGGGGCCCTGGCTGGGGACCTGGACCACGGCTCCGATACAGGCCCTAGAGGCTCCATGTGCGCCCCACTGGGAGCGTGGGTGTTCCGTCCTCAGACGGGGTGGCCGGGCGATGCAGGGCAGCAGAGAGCACGGCCTTTAGCGGAGAGCAAGAGCTTCCCGAGGACAGGAGGCACCGCCCAGGAGGGCAGCCGGTGAGGGCGCAGAGCGGCGGGCACTCCACTGCCCCGGTGCCCTGCTGCCACCACACAGCCGGTTCTGCCCATTGGGCTGCCGCAGAGTGCGCCCCCACTGCAGGCGGGCCCCACAGGGGTGCGCAGCATGGGCTCTAGATGTCAGGATGGCGCTGCGAGGTCAGATTCCAAGTGAGATGGCCAAGGCCTCGCTGCGCCTTCCGCTCGCTCTCGCTCTCAGGAGCAGGGAGCAGCCTGCTGGCCGCCCTTCCAGCGGGGAAGCCGGACACAGGGAGCCACGGGCCCTCCCACACTCCCTCTGGCAGGAGGCTCCTTCCTGTGGGGAAGCACTTGCAGAGAGTGGGCTGTGCTCAGCAGGACTGAGGTGGGAGGGGCTGCAGAGAGGGGGCTGGAAACCAGCTGTTTTTTGGGGGGGAGAAGGAGGGGAATTGGTGGTAGAGTATCAGGTTCTCTGGCAACAGCATGTCCCAAGGGTCATGACGAAGAAGCAGAGACCCTAGACTCAGCCACACGTGCCGCTGTCACCTCAGCAAAAGGAGGCAGCCTCTGGCAGGCAGAGCCTCAGTTGTGTGCCTGGCGAGCGCTCCTGGGTCCAGGGCCGACCTGGGCACATGCAGACACTGTGTGGGCGAGGCCACCCTGGAACCTGAGTGCCCCTGTCCTCACCCCCTCCCGGGGCCTGCTCCAGGCAGCAGCAAGGGCAGTGCTTGCCTGGCTCCCCTCTGCTCCTGGCCCAGTGCGGACCATGCGTGTGTCTGCTGGCCGGCTCGTTCCTCCTACCCCGGGGAGACCAGCCCGGGGCCAGCCAGCTCCTGCTCAGCCCAGGGACTCTCCCTGGTTTGAGAGCCTGTCCTCTGAATGCTGAGCTCCCTCTCCCCGTCTGCAGAGAACCCAGAGACTCCCAAGGGCAGTGGCTCTGACTCCTCCTGTGTCTCCCACGGGTCTGACCGTGGGAGCCCTGAGAGCCTGGCTGTGCTGGCCCCGGGAAGGCCTCCCTCCTCCACCTGCCTGCAGAGCCTGGGAGGTCAGCGCCTGGTCTAAGGCCCACGAGGCAGGCGTGGGGTCAGCATGGACCTCACACAGGGCTCCCAGAGCTCAGGGCGGGACCGAGTGCAGGGAGGGCTGCCTGCAGTCTCCTCCCCCAGGAGGAAGGCTGCCCCAGCAGCTGGCCAGCAGGGATTCCTGGGGAGGGCTGGGGCCTGCCTGAGTGCCTACAGCTGTCAGGGCAGTGGCCAGCGAGGGCGCTTACTCAGTCCCTGACCCTGGGCCGGAGGCAGGACAGCCTGGAGAGCCAGTTTGGGCCCAGGCTGTAGGGGCGGCCTCCGGGCTCCGGGTGGAGCATGGGAGTGCGATGAGGAATAGGGGTTAAACCAAGTCCCAGCCCTGGGCTCCCTGCCAGAGAGGGCGAGGAGCTGAGAGTCCAGATCACTGATGGGCGAAGCTGCAGAAGGGTGCTGGGTGCCAGGCCTTTGGACACTATACATCCTTCTCCCTCTGTCTCCCCGGCTCCGGCTGCAGGCTGAGCTGGCGCAGCCTCCCCATGTCCCATGCGCACATCTCCTTGTGTCTCTGTGTTCCTAGCTCTCTGCTCTTTTCACCTCACTCACTCTAACCTGTGTCCTGTCTTCTCTCTCTGCCCCTGCTTCAGCCTGGCTGCACTGCATCGCGGACCCTCTCTCCGGGCGGGGTATTGAGGGGGCTCTGACATTCCAGCAGGACTCCAAGATGCCAGGAGGGGACCAGGGCCACCTCTGTGCCCCGGAGGAGTGGTCCCTGCAGCAGACTTTCCTGCTGGGTGGGAGCCGGTGGCTGGGGACAGGCTTGGGCCCCCCAGCCCTTCCGGGCCTGCTCACAGAGCAGTTCCGCTTTAACAGACTCAGTTTTTCCTTTCTTTGCAGATGTTGGAGGAGCTCAGGTGTTGGCAACGGACAAGTCCACTGGGACGGAAATTGGTAGGTGCCCGCCCAGCTGTTCTGCCTGGGAGGCGAGGCGAGTGGGGCTGCGGGCTGGCCTCTTAGCTGTCACACACAGGAAGGGCGGCACTCACCGCCAGGCCTGCCGAGTGGCTAGTACAGCTCTCTCCCGGACATCATCCTGCCCAAGAGCCTGTCCTCAAAGGGAACGTGAGTCCTCGGGCCACCTTTGTCCACACTCTGATGTGCAGCGCCCAGCGCCCTGCCCGCAGCCTGGTTCTCACCGCAGGCTTGGCCCTGCTCTGTGCCCAGGGCACTCTCTCTGCACAATCAGCTCCTCTCCCACTGGGAGTTCACTGGGCAGGCAGTGACCTGTGGAGAGCGGCCTCGTGTCAGCCCAGACCCATCTCAGGCACTAGAGGGAGCCCTGAGCTCCCCAGCGGCCAGCAGGTTCCCGGGCCAGGCCGCATCCCCTTGCCTTCAGAGCTCATCAGAGAGCGGGTGATTAACACAGGACGTGTAAGGCAGGAGGCCTGAGGAGGCAGGGAACTGAACCGCTGGCCCCCGAAGAGGCTCCACAGCAGAGGAGCCCCGGGCAGTTCTCAGAGGGTCTGAGTCAAGGAGCCGGAGCCTGTGCCCTCCGGAGTTTAGGGACGTTAGGTCGGCCTCGGTGGGTCACACGCATGACCTGGGGCTTCGTCCAGAATGTGACGGTCGCCTGGAAGCCCTTTGCAGGTGGTGACGCTCGGAGCCATCATTCAATGTCTCCTCCCTCAGACATCAAGTACGCCCTCATCGGGACGGCGCTGGGCGTGGCCATCTCGGCGGGCTTCCTGGCGCTGAAGGTCTGCATGATCAGGAAGCACTTGTTCGATTACGACTCCTCGGACCTGAAGATCACCAATGCGGGAGGCAACGGTAAGACACGGTGCTCAGCCCGGCTCCGTCCCCGACAAGGATGTTCCCGGCAGCCACCCACGGGGCACCAGGGCCACTGTGGAGCACCTGGTAGAGACAAACGGGAAACCACGGGTGCAGAGAAACACAGTGACCCCACCCCTCTGTCTTTCTGTCTGTCTCCGGCTCTTCTCCTTAGTGGCTTCCGATGTTCCTGAGAACAGGCTTCCTGGGTGGGAATGATGAACGTGATCCCGGGGCAGTGAGGCTGGTGGGCAGGAAGGGGACTGTGTGGCCAGTTGCATTTTTTCAGAAACAGGGAGTCCTCCGTCCAGGACCCTTCGGTTCTCAGTGTCCTGCGGGGCACAGCGCATGCAGACACGGAGTTGTCAGTTTGTGGGTGGCTATTGAAAATATTTTTTTAGAGAGAGAGGAAGAGAGAGGGAGAGAGAACATTGATTGCCTGCCTCCTGCACTCCGCCTACCAGGGATGGAGCCTGAAACCTGGGCATGTGCCCTGACCGGAATCGACTGGCAAACTTTTGGTGCACGAAACACAAAAAGCCACACCAGTCGGGACAGTTTGTGACTTTTGATGGCAAAATGCAGCAGTGATTGACACCCTTCTTCTCGGGGTGGGGCCTGCAAAAGCCACGCCCATGTCAGGGATAATGGCATGACGGTGCGGTTTTCCGTGAGGCTTCCTGAGGGTGAGGAAGAAAATGCTTCAGAATATCTCCGGAAAATGCGGTGATATTCTGTGAAGACATGCAGAAGGTGTGGGGCGCGGGGTGTCTGGCCAGGAAGAGGGGAGCAGCAGCTCTCAGGATGAGATGCTAGTGTGGCGAATTGCACCAGGGGCTCCGTTTGCCATGGGAGTCTGTTTGCCATTGAATTTGTATCCCTGCGAACAAGGAAGGAGGGAGAGCAGCAGCCTCGTCAACACAGAGCAGGCGCACAACAGACCCTGAGGGCCACGCTCCAGGGGCCGCAGCTGGAGGAGAGGCCAGGGCAGTGCTTAGGGAAGGCTCCGCCTTACCTGCCTGCTGAGCTCTGAGTTCTCCTGGGCAGGAGCTGGACAGAGGCTCTGGCAGTGCTGGCAGGGAGGAGGGGGCGGGAGGCACACAGAGCCCTCAGCTCAAGACCACTGCCCCAATGGCCCACCCAGGGAGCCTCTCAGTCCTGCTGAGTCCAGTTGGCTCTGGCCCCTCCCCGGTGCCTGGACTGAGCGAGCTGCCCGGGGACCACAGCGCCTCCTTCCTAACGCCCGCTCTCTCTGTTTAGATACCATCGCGCCAAGGAAGAGAGCCTCAAGGTAAGGTTGTGCTGTAGGACTGCCTCCCTCCTGCTCATCTGTTCTCTGTTCTCGCCCTGCCTGGCAGCCCAGCCCTTTCCAAAATGCTTCTTGGGGACAAAGATGCACCCCTGTGCCCTCCCCCTGCTCCTCTGGCGTGGGCGGGTGTCCTGAGAGGGTGTAGTAGCCAAACAGGCTCGCCTGCCCCTGGCACTGGGCACGTGCTGCAGACCACGGGCCACTCCGCCCCATGTAGGAACTGACTTGCTGTCCTTTGGTCTAACTTCCGGACGACAGAGGGAACGCTCAGACGGAGAGCCGGGCAGAGTGATCTCGGCTCCCCCATGGGTGAGCCAGCTCCCTGGGACAGCCAGACGTCCCCACACCGGTTGGGGCTCTGAGTGAGGGAAACTTAGTTTTGATACGCCGGGGCCCCTGGAAGTCTCCAGAGTTTGTCGCAGACTCTGCTGCAGAGACAGCTTAGAACTGGAATTCACAGCAATGTCAGGTGTCACCATGCCCGCCGCTCACCCTGTGGCGTGTCTGCACGTGGCCACCAGCAGGTGGGCGCAGAGGCTGTGACCATGTGTGACGAATGACGGACACACGTCTGAGTATGGGGAGACCTGCTGTGGCCAGTGCAGCACAAGCATGTAGTCCTGCTTTCCTGGTTTCCTGTGGCTGTGTGACCTGTCAGAGGGAACGCTCCATCATGCGTGTATGCGTGTTCTGGATCATTCTGACAAGCCAGAGCTGGGAGAGGCGACTTCCACGATGCAGGCCAGTGACCGATGGTCACTCAGCAGCAACCCCTGTGCCTGCGGGTCAGGGAAAGGAACGGCAGCAGCAGGAGGACGCGGTGGTGGAGGGAGGAGGGAAGAAGCGAAGGAGGAGAGGTGGGGGTTGGGCCTTGCTGTGAAGGGCCCTCACCGTGCGGGAACTGCTCCTGGCCTGGGTCCTAAGGGAGCCCCCACCAGCGCAGGGTTTTCGGAGCGAAGGGAGGCACAGCTCAGGGTTCTGAAGCTGACACTAGGCTGAGTGGGGAGAAGTTAGACCAAAGGACAGCAGGTCAGCTCTTTACAGCAAAGCTGCAGGTGCGCTCTGCCACCGGGACGATGTGCTAAGTCTCTTATCAGAACATATCACTAGTACAGTGAGTGATGTCTACCCTACTCTTCTGCTTTGCAGGTCAAATCTCAACTTCTCTGAAAGGTGAGTTGGCTGCAGGTCAGCACTGACTGAGGGAGAAGACAGGCCGGCCGTGGTGGCTGTCCTCACGCCACGAGAGCACAGCGGCCACCGGCCAATGGCAGGCGTCCTGGGCCAGGGAGGCTGTGAGACCAGGAACCAGCAACTTTTAGGGACACGTGCGGAAAATCCTAGCAAGATGTAAAATGAAGCTGTGGGACATTTGCCTGCTTAGAGCTGAGAATACTGCATTTTGCAATATAGATCATTATTTAAAATATATTTTTATTGATTTCAGAGAGGAAGGGAGAGGGAGAGAGAGATAGAAACATCAATGATAAGAGAGAATCATTAATTGGTTGCCTCCTGCACAACCCCCAGTGGGAATTAAGCCCATAACCCGGGCATGTGCCCTGACCAGAAATTGAACCTTGACCTTCTGGTTCATAGGTCAACATTCAACCACTGAGCAATACTGCTCAGGCCATTGATTTTTAAATTTTATTTACCAAGACCTCCTCTTGACAGAGGCCTGTCAAGCAGTTAGCCAATTTACTCCATTCAATGAAAAAAAATTCCAAACTTTTCTCTGTTTCATCAAGTTCTCAGGTTGGCATTGGATCTTCACCTCTGCTTTGGGGTCTCAGTGGGCAAGGCCTGCAGGGGCAGGGGGCCTGCAGGGGGGCACCTGCTCCCCAGGAAGGAGGCACCTCCTCCGGGTTTATCCGAATCCTCGGTTCAGGCTCACACTCCCTGGGCCTGCTGGCCGGTCCTCATGCACTGCCCACTGCGCTCACTCTCCTTTGTTGGGAAACATGGTAAACATACCGCAAAGCTGAAAGAACTGAGTAATAAAAACAGACACACACCCTTCATCTAGAGTCACAGGTTAGTTAGCATTTGCCGTTTGTCTTCTCTGAATACACCTATTTCTTCTGCTCCATGGAACAACTGGCACAGACACAGGGCATTGCATTCCTACATGCCTTATCATGCTACCTCCCACATGATCACCATGCAATGACCGTGCTTAGAAAAATGAGTGGTAATTCAGTATCATCTACTGCATAGCCCATATGCAAAGTCCTCTGATGGCTTAAAAAGCATCTTTTATAACTGTTTTCCTAAGCCAGCGTCATTACATTATATTTTGTCTCTTTTTATTTTCTCTCGTTATTGGACAACATTTCCGCTTCCCCCCTATGCCAGCAATTTTCAGCCTTTTTCATCTCATGGCACATAAATAATTACTAAATTTCTGTAGCACACCAAAAACATATATTTTTGCAGATCTGACAAAAAATAGCTGTTGTTTTAATTCACTCACACCAGACAGCTGTGTGGGGTTGGCTGCTGTCGTTTTTATGGCGGTCGCACGGAAGAGGGCGGTGCCAGAGTAGATGCCTGGCAGCCTGTGTTTACACATCCTGAGGAGCCCCTAAGGCGCTGTCATTTGGAAGCACCCACACCTGTCCCATCTGACGCCCCATTTCTGGTTTGTTAGGTTCTGTCCTCCTGAGTAACTCCTGACTGAGAATTTTGTGGAGTTTGCTGCAGAGGGGACACTTGTATCGTCTGTGGTGCCGCCTCAGGGGCACCCAGGCCAGACCCCTCCGTGGGTCCCCTCCGTGGGTGGGGCTGTTTGCTCACTGGTCAGGGAAGCACCTGCTCGACTCCATAGAGCAGAGGGCAGCTTCCCCTGGGAACCAGTCAACGGTCAAAGGTGGTCCTTCGAGTCCTGACTCCCAACGGTTCCTCACCCAGTGATTCAACATCCTCACGATTTACGTTTGAATCAATTATTGCATAGGAATTACAAAATTAGAGTTTCTAATTCTAGCATTCCTTCCACACTTAATAGCTGGCATTCACAAAGGAGGAATTTTTCTCCCCCAACACATTTTCTTTCATCCAGTTGTTGAACATAATTCCTATGAACTTCAATGCATTTTAACTCATTGCCATCATCAATCCTTCTTATGCTTTAATTATCCCAAGTTTATCCAGTAAAGTCACTTCTTCGTGGCTTTTACAGGACCCCTGAGGCACTGAGCGTTTCCTAGACTTGGACACAACACAGTATCCCCAGTGCACCTTGTGCCGTCCCTGCTCAGACTGGAATCCCATTTCCCCCAGGGTCCCTCCCTCCAGCCCTCCCTTCCTCCCGTTCCCTCTTTCTCCCACCCCTTTCCTTTTCTTGATATGGAGTAGTTTTCAGAAACCAAGGTCTGGGCCCAATGTGTGCTCATAGCTACTAAGGCATTACTGCTTCTACACCCTCTCTGTGGAGAGTCAGGAAATGTTTATTAAAATAACAAACTTAAGGTTCTTCCTAAGCTCTTCTTACTTTATATTTCCCCTGGCCTCCTCCAGAGTGAGAACCGTACTCTCAACCATATGAAGACTTTCACTCGTTTGTATCATATAACACTCCCACTGCCAGGGTTACACAGTGCACAGCTGCACACTTGCTTAGTAACATGAACATTCCTTTACAGCTCCTCTTTTTTTTTTTTTTTTTTTTTTTTTTTTTTTTTTTTTTTAGAATTCAGCCTCTGTGTGCACAGAGTATTGTGTCCAAATTGAATTTACTTCTCTCTGTGGTCGCATTACCAGTTTGACACAGTGAGAGACATTGGATTGAGTCTGTCTACCGTGTTCATGTTTTCTTCCTAATCCCTGGGTGTAATTGTGTTTTTGAGCTTGAGGAGCACGCACACCCCGAGGTCTTGCTCCCACCCCATCCACTCCACCAACCTTCTTCTTTACTGCTGCTTAGTACTCCATGGTGTAAATGTACCACAGCTTTTGATCCACTCATCTGCTGATGGGCCCTTGGCTGTTTCCAGATCTTAGCTATAAACTAGAGGGCCGGTTCACGAAATTCATGCACTGGTAGGGTCCGGAGTAGTATTTAGGTGAAGTCTTCAGGGTTTTCTATGTACAATATCATGTCATCTGTGAATAATGATAGTTCTACTCCCTTCTTTCTAATTTAAATGTCTTTTATGTTTTCTTCTTGTCTGATTGCTATGGCTAAGACATCCAAAATTACATTGAATAAGAGTGGTGAAATTGGACATCCTTATCTTGCTCCTGTTCCTAGGGAAAATGGTTTTAGTTTTTGTACATTGAGTAGGATGTTGGCTGTAGGTTTTGATATATGGCCTTTATTATGTTGAGGTATGATCCCTCTATTCCCACTTTGCTAAGAGTTTTTATAAAAATAGGTGTTGGATTTTGTAGAATGTTTTTTCTGCATCTGTTGATATGATCATGTGTTTTTTGTCTTTCAATTTGTTTATGTGATGTATCATGTTTATTGATTTGAGAATATTGTATTATTCTTGCATCTCTGGAATAAATCCTACTTGGCCATGGTGTATGATCTTTTTAATATGTTGTTGAATCCAATTTGCCTATATTTTGCTGAGGATTTTAGCATCTATGTTCATTCGGGATATTGGTGTGTAATTACAAATCTGTTTTTGTGTGTCCCAGAAGAATTTTCAGATTTTACTCTCATGGGTTTTTCACATTTCCATTTCTGTTTATTCCTAAATATTTTATTTTTTGTTGCTTTTGTAAATGGAGTTTCCTAATTCTCTCCTCCTTGGTGATTGATTGCTTTGGATGGGTTTTGCAGGTTAATATTGTAGCAATTGCCTTATTGGATACTGTTATTGTTTGCATTAGTTTTCTCCTTGATATTTTATTTGTCATGTTTATCGTGTTCTAAATTTTATGATGGCATGCCAAACTGTAGATCTTTCCAATTCTTATGCCTGTAATTGCTTTCTCCTCTGATTGTATCTGCTCTGACCATCAATGCTAACTAACAGCGGAAACAGAGTGCAGACCTGTTTTGTGCCTGATGTTGGTGGGAAACACACTAGTGCTTTCCGTGAAGTAAGAGCTGGCCTGAGGGATGACGTACGCTCATTTACTCACATTAGGGAAGTACCCATCCACTCTTATCTTACTGAGTTTTTTAAATCAGAAATGTGTGTTGGATTTGGTCAAGAGTCCTTTCAGCATGAGCAGGCATTAGCTTACCCGGACACTCTCCTGAGCAAACCAGGATGTAGAGATAGACCCTTTGTTGTTAGTGTTTTTGTTTCTTTCCCTTCTCGCCTTGGTGATCTGCACACTTGTTGTAAGATGTGGTAGAAGATTCGGGTTTATGCCACCACTACAATCCTACAGTCTCCAAAAGACTCTCATTCTCTTCATACCCAGGCCAGGTCTGCAGCCTAATTTATCTGCTAACCCAGCCAGCGATGCTCTCCCGGGTCCTGCCCAGCTTTTCTTTTCCTGTGGGCTGTGGCTGGCTCTCCAGGGCTGGCATAGCCACCCGGAGAGGGACTGCTGCCCTGTCGGAGAACAACTTCCTCCTGGAGGTGCCTGTCCCCAGCTCTGGGCCATCAGGGATGGGAGGAGATGGTCTCTTGGCTGCCCATCTTCTCTGGGCATCAGGAATTCAAGCGCAAGTGCTGGCCAGAGACAGCCTCTGCAGGTCTTCCTCCTTATAAGACCTAAAGGGCCCTTTGAACTTGGGACTCATTAAAGACAAAAGGAAGAATGAGCTTTCTGTTGAGCCTGGGCCTCTAGACCAACTTAAGCTCTAGGTCCATCACACCAGTACTTTCAAGAAGAAGCTCTTCACCTGACTGCAGTGAGGCCCACGCTGAGAACCCCTTTCTCCACTGTCTTCCTACGATCCTTGCTTGTTTCCAACTGCTTGTTTTCCATCGGCTCTGCTGCCATTCAACTCATAATCGCCGCCTCTCCCTTGCACTCCCACACATGGGCAGGTGAGTACCTGCCGCCCCTCTTATGGCTGTGGACTGGCTTGTCCTTTGGTGTGTTACTCTGCCCCATCCTTCTGCTATTATTGCTTTTTCCCCAAGGGGAGATGTTAATTAAACATCAAGTATTAAGACTAAATACACACATGGAATGGCATAAACAAGTATGAAATGTAGGCAGTAATATGTTTTCCTTACAGCTATAGATAATATTTATGTGAAACTAAGTGTTGAGGTGAGTTCAAAATGGAGGTGTTGGCGAGGCTCTCAGCCAGGAGGGGCCACCGCAGGGTCTCGGTCCTGCTTTCTACTGTATTGCCATCTGGTTTGGTGAGCTCATCTTTTCTTCTCTGTTCCGGGTGTCTAATATACACTGAGTGGCCAGATTATTATGATCTCTGAACACATAATAATCTGGCCATTCAGTGTGTGTGTGTGTGTGTGTGTGTGTGTGTGCGTGTGCGTGCCTGGTGTATGAATTCATGCATGGGTGGGGTCCAGCCAGCCTGGCCAGGGAGAAGGGACATGGGCAGTTAGCCAGCCTGCCTGCTGGTCAAACCCCTGGTCAAGGGTACAATTTGAATATTAGCCTTTTATTATATAGGATATACACTGAGTGACCAGATTAGTATGCATTCAGAGATCATAATAATCTGGCCACTCAATGTGTGCCTATGCTGCTGTTCCTTCGGTCAAAACCGATCACTAAGCACAGCATACCTCACCCTTCGTTACAGCATGTGGTTCAGACTTGAAGGTATCGCTTTCTGGTTACATTCCCGCAGGTCTGTCCTCCTATTCCTCTTGGTATATGCCCAGATCTTCAAACTCTTCAAGTTCTCAAAGTGGCTCTTTCCCTTCAATGTGCCTATCACCCATGGGGGAATGGCTTCTTCCCTTTTTGTCATCAAGGTGGGCGGGGTGTGTGGTCTTGGTTTGGTAGCAGAAACAGCCTCAGGGGGAGCCCCACCTGAGACTCTCCTCACTGTGCTGCAAGAGGAAATGCCCTCGCTGATGTGCTGATACCCTTTCACGCTGTGTAATTGTGTGTCACATAAGCTCCTGCCACGTTAGTTACAGCATGGTCCCTCGGTCAGTAAGTCTCCCATGGCTCTCTTCCTTTCCAGAGAAGCACAAGTGATCGAACTCTGAATGCGCAGCCACTCCAGGCGGGGCTTGGCAGTCTAGACAGCCATCCACGGCAGTGTGGGAATGTCTTGAATTTGAATGTCAAAGCTGGTGATGGACTTCAATATCCGGGCAAATAATAGCCCGAACAGAGTCCTTCATGCACTCGTCCTGGAGGAAAGTGTCACTTCCCTTCTGCAAGAAGCTCGCCGTGGAGGGAGGCAGGAGCACTGCGTCCAGGGTGAGGAAGAATGGAAGCCGGTCAGCCTCTCTGCCTGCCGTGGTGCCCACGCTGAGCTGCTCACACTTCCATGGTGGCGTTGACTCCACGTCACTGGAACCTCCCCACAGAGTGCGCTCAGGGAATGAGAACCAAACTCAAGACACAGGGTCTAAAGCAACAGCACCTTGGCCACAGAAAGGCAGCTTTTCCCAGAACTGTTGGCCTCACCTCAGCAGCTGCCAGAAGACTCCCCCAGGAACATCCAGGCGCCCTCATGCCCGGAGACCGTGAGGCAGTCTCTCCTCCTACAGACGAAGCACTGATCTTCCAAAGGAGAGACGGCAAGCTGGGCTGGAGTGAGAGGACAGGTCGCCTGCCACGTGCTGACAGGCAGCCGGGCAGCCTCATGGAGGGTCAGCAAAAGATTGCGTGGGAAATCCGATGCTGTGCCTGGGAGAATGCTATTCCAGTGTTCGCAATCACTGTTCCACTCACAGGATTACTGCCTGTTACTGTTACCGTGTGCATACCTTGTCATGGAGAGGCTCGGGAAACATCTTCTCACCGTTCCCATCAACGGAAGGCTGGGGCCCAGCCCTGGCCACACAGCTCTGCCCTGGCCACCCGGCCCAGCCCTGGCCACATGGCTCTGCCCTGGCCACCCGGCTCTGCACTGGCCACACGGCTCTGCCTGTGATGTGACCTGCGTTGGTGGCTGCAGCGGGAGCCCTCTGTGCCTTGCCCTCAGCAGACACCGGTGGTTCTGTGGATGGTGCTCCTCGGGTTGGGCCACTCTGCTCGTGTGTGATGACACATGAGCTACATCATCACGAAGTGCTGTGTTATGCCAATTTGCCCGCATTCCCAGGACATCTCTCCTCTGACTTGATAACAATGTAGCTCATTAGCAGCCTTTGTTAACTGATAACCTAGAGCAGGAATGCCACAGTCAGACCCAGTTTTCTGTGTGTAAGAGAATAAACCATTGTGTAAGCCCTCTGCTCATCGATTTGTTTCTTTGGCAGCATTTAAATGGAGATATCTGCTGTGAAAGGCAGAGATGCCTGTGGATGGAAAGCGATGCCTCAGAATGCTCAGTAACCCTTTCATTTTCTGTGGACTCGACAGGACTATGGGGTCTGCTCCTGTCCCACATCTGCCATCTTTCCCCAGCTCCTCCTCTGGGCTCTGGTTTTGCTTCCCTCCCACAAGGCCTCCTGTGGAGAGCACAGAGAAGTGTGGGGCCACTGCTCTCTCCTCAGATTATAGAGGCTGACACTCCCGGAGGCAAAAGGGGCTGGGGACCCTTAGCGATGGGTCTCCTGGGTTATATCTGAATTCACACTCAGTGGTTTCCTTCTTTGGCAGTCCTACAGCCCCCCTCCCCCACCCCCTTCCCTCACAACCCTTCGCCATGGGACCAACTCCTGGGGGTGGAGGTGCTGGTGGGCAGACTTGGGTGCGTGCTTGGGTGCGATGTCTTCAGTGAGGCCATTCCGATGGCCTTGGGCTGTGCGTGGGGAGCTGCTAGCAGAGGCCAGGGGCCAGGATAAGCCCGGAGGCCCTGGGCCCCAGAGCGCATGCGGGTCCCAGGCAGCCTATTGCGGTGGCAGGCCGTCCTCCCTGCCACAGCAGAAGGGGCAGATGGCACGGGAGCACCAGAGGAAGGGCTGCCCTGCATGAGGAGGCGGCTGCAGATGGCTGTGCTGATGCCAGAACCTGGTGAGCTGGGGAAGGTTATCTGGCAAGATGAACAGATTAATCTGTATTCATCTCTATATCTACAAACTTAGTTTCAATACATACACTAAATCCATACACAAAATTGAATCAGTATGTGTTTGTGCTCTTCTTAGGTGAGTTAAAAGTATATATATCAGAGAATTATCATATAGTCTATGGTAAATTCTATTCTAGAGTATATGGGGCTTGCATAAGTAAATAAATGATGTCCTTTTTCATCATCCAAGTTTAAAATAGTTGAGAGGTAGAGAAGCAAGCAGATGGAGGTAAGAATATCAGAGTTGTGATTTTCAAGTAATTTATGACATGTCAACATCACTCTTTAGCCTCAGAGCCCTGGCCCCATCCAAACAAAAGCAAGAGTGGCTGAGCAGGATGCTGACAGCAAAGGCGCAGAGGGAGGGCAGATTTGGGTGCTGTGTGGAGGTGAAGAGGCAGGACTTGTGGACAGACAGACTTGGGGGCGAGAGAAATGCCAACTCAGCACCGCCATCCTAGGTCCGGTGTCTCTGCGGGTGCGGAGGACCCAGGCGCCTGTCTTGGGAAGGTCTGCAGCTTGTCTGCGAGCACGAGGCAGCCAAAGCACAGGCTGCATTTGGAGAGAGCGTGAGCCCACGTCCTGCAGCTTCAAGCTTGTGACCTGGGTTACAGACACACATGTTGAGGTCGGCACCATGAGAGAGCACAGGGCGAGTCAGCGGAGGCGATGGGGTGTGCAGACAGGGTGCTGAGGGTGGAGCCGAGGGCTGAGGCCTGGACATGAAGCCCCGCTGTGCCCTGCGTCTGTCCTGCTGGCTGCTTCTCTCCCTTCTGAGTGGTTTGTCATCACCCCAGCTGGGTCAGGTAAGGTAATCATCCTTCAGAGAACAGGATTTGTCCCTGTGCGTTTCTGCTGGGTGACGCCCTCTCCCAGGCTGTGTGCAGGGCGCAGGGCGGTCACTCGGGCCACCAACTTTCAGCCTCACTTAGTGCGTTTGGGTCTGAGTGTTCCTGGTCCTAGAAGTTCGGTGGAGAGGCTCTCTCCTCGGATGTGGCCCTCTGAGCAGTCTGGAACGATGGTCGAGCATGTCGGCTCTCCTGCCACACGCTTCTTTGTGACAGGACAAACTATATAACCTTGCTGTGCCTCAGTTTCCCCGTTTGTGAAATGGGCTAATAGCTGTCCCTGCTCTATAGGGTCTTTGTTGGCATTCAATGAGGTAACTCACATAAACCTCTTACAACACCGGCACGTCACGGGCACTCAGCAAATGTGACCTATTACTTACAACGTGTGTGGCTCCACTTTGACCCCATCCCCAAACCCAGGCACTGAGATTAAAAAAGTTTTCATTGTCAGCACAATTTCAGGTGGAATATATAATTTTAAAGTATATTTTTATAATAAAAATTAATTTTAGAATCGTTTTAGGCTTCCTAAAGGTTGTGAGTATAGTTCGAAGAGTTCCCACGAGCCCCACACTGAAGTAACATCTCACACGGTTCTGGTTTATATGTCGCAATTGATGACCCAGCACGATTACATTGGTGTCCATTCAAACCTGGACTGAACTGGATTCCTCAGTTTCCCTCTCGTACCCCTTCTCTGCACCAGGACCCGCCCAGGACACTGAGGGCATCGGTACTCAAGGCTTCTGTGGTTGTGATGCTTGCTCCCACTGTCCTTGCTCTGGATGACTTTGACCTTTCAAAAACATGCTGGGTGGGCATTCTGCACAATAAGAATCTCAAACTCATGGCCGCGGGCCACACGGGGCCTCCAACAAATATTTTTTCAGCCCAGCCAATACAATGGTACGTAAGAAACGTTTTATAAAAATTACAACAGCGTTCGCTAATGACTGATTACTCTCATCGCGTTGCATTCATTTCCCGAACGCGACTTATGCGCAGGCGCACCGTTTCTCTACACTAATACTCCCGTAGCAGCGAATATTTAACAGACTACTGCCACGTCATTAGTCTTGGGCTGATTTGTTTGGTGTGTGCAACAGAAAATATTTCACTTTTGATAAAAATAAGTTTATCTGTGTTATGCTTATTGATTTGTGTAGTTATTCAGTGTCTAGTAAATGAATGTTCAAGAAAAATATTAATTTTTATGAAAATGATCTATTACTTTATGCTAATGATTACTCATTTATTTCAGCCCTTTGTATTCAGCATGTCTCTATCAAAATAAACCTATGTTTCTATGAAAATTGAAGCTTGTTTATTTGGCCCGTGTTAGCCTTTGAGTTTGACATGCTTGCTGTAGACTGTCCCTCAACCTAGGATTTGTCTCATGATTTTCTCATGATGATAGATTTCTCTTAAGTGTAACATAAAATTGATTATAATCAAACAAAAACCCAAGTCTTGATTAATCTTTTCTATTATAAGTAAAATCTTTATTTATAATAAAATCTAATCTTTACTCATATGAATAAAATTAGCCAGATAGCTGACAGATGTCACCTAAGTTTGAACTGGGTAGGCTCAGTACAAAGAACATGTTGATTTTTCTTTCATAAAGCAAGGCAGGCGTCCTGATCCGGGAGGGCTCAGCCAACATCCACTCCCTGTGTTCAGGTCAGTGGCAGGCCGGCAAGCGCCGAGCCGTGAGGCAGTGGCTCAGAGCTGCCCATTATCATTCTTCACAACAAATGACCCACGAGGAAGCCGTACAATGTGGGTCTGATTTTTTTGTTTGTTTTGTCCTTTCCCGAGTTTAAATCAGGAGGTGGCTCTTATGTACTGACAACATACTGAGTGCAGCCACTGGGACCAGAAAGGACTTTAGACCCTATCAGAGGGTCACCCCTGCGCTGGGGTGGGGCGTCTGCACCAGCAGGAAGGCTGTGCTCCTGTCATCAGCGGACGTCCTGTCCTCCAAAGCGAGTTTGAATGGATTCCTCCCCATCCATCAAGGCCCCATCCCCCAGGGCCTCGCCCTCCAGGGCCCACCCTCCAGGCCTGCCTTCACCGATGCAGGTTCCTCTCAGTGAAGCTCCACCAGCTTTAGAGGTCAGGTCACAGGAACCACTCGATGCCCCGTCAGGCCTTGATTCCCATGCAT